TTGTGACCGAAATCACACATCGACCAATATGATCTTATCGTCAGGTTCGGTGGGAATTCACCACGACCGCAATTAGGCAAGGAACCACTATTATTTTCTACCCACTTTGTCTAGGCGCATGAGAAGGCAACAATCTGTGCCTGCTTCTTCACGATAAACAGCCTAATACAATTCAAGATGAAAAATTCCGCTTTGGAGGAGCTATGGCGTAATTTAGCATTTGATGTGGTATGAGGTTGGACCGAATTCCGGTTTAGCAATGTGAGACCTATGAGGTTAAAAGAGGAGGCAGGAACTGGTACAGCTGGCTATCCCTTAAGTTGCCATGTGGTTTGTTCGCGTGATTCGTATGAACAGATGGCTTTGCATGTGCAGGGGTCCTGTTAACAATTGTTCAAGAATGCTATGGGGTTTGGGTCCAAATATGGGTAGAGGGAAGTCGTAACTGGTTGAGACAACCGAGCTCTGTCTACTGTAGTATGCAAGACAGTGGAGGATGAGCCCTATTGTATCATAATTGGTGGTCAGCCAAACTGCCCCACTCGTTGAGTCTGCTGATGGCTACAATGCATACGAAGGTCATGTGTTCGAGTCCGGATCGATTCGAAGCAATGTGTGCTCCTCAGGAGGTCCAGTAGGACGAGGCGGAGGTTGAGTTTTTTACCCGCATGTATGTGGTGCTCTGTAACTGGAAACTGACTGTTAAGATAATTTTGCACAGACGCACTGAGCACAAGATTGTGCAACTGTCCAAAATGCATTAGAGTCATAATGAGAAAAAAAGTAGGCCGTAGTGGACTGAAAGTAGTGCTACCTGTTACCTGTTACGTGGGTTACAGTAAGCTTTGTAAGCAAATTGAACCTCTCACCAAGCGCTGCTCCTGACACTACCCTGTGAGAATCATCTCCACTGATTCCATTGAAGAACAGTTTACGTGAGAAATGCGCTACGAATTGAAACTGAGTTTTCGAACGCAAGTAATCGCTTGACTTGGGATGTGAGCGCATAGATTTCACGAGTGCGCTTTCTGCAAAAGCCCCATGCGAGGAAGGAAGTCATCAGGCGATGAATTCCACAAATTAATTGAGTCACGTCGTATCCCATAGTTGGGGCAAATACCCTACCAGAAACGTGGCAGTCAAAACTTGTCTTCGAAAAGCTGCTTAAGTCCGGCTTACCTTCTGCTGGTTATTATAGAGAAGGAGCTTTGCTAACCGTTCCAAAAAATGTTGAGTTTCAGCATTGCTTACAGCATCCCTGGTTGTGAAAAGTTCACCACTGCAGAGTAGGTAAAGGATTTACTGGATAAAACTAAGTGGCTTCAAGGAAGCTGTCACCTAACACAGTTCAGACACAAAATCTGCGTATACCTTCAACGAAGGAAGCTCAGCCTATTGGGGCCAACTCACACTGTGGATACCAGTTTGTACGTGACTGCGGAAAAAGTTACATAGGCAGAACCAATAGAACGCTTCCTTCCCAAATAAAGGAACATGTACCAAGATGGGTTCAACGTGAAGTTGCTCAGATTGCCTACCCTCGTCAGATTCCATGTTCGCGCAGACCGCCGACTTCCTCGATGAGCAAACACCTATTAGACTCGGGTCACCAATTAGAGCTGGGCTCAGCGTTTAAAGTTGTGTTAAGTCACACTAATCCCCGCTTTCTTCGGTTTGCTGAGGCTGTCGCTGTAAGCCGGATTAAGCCAGCCTTGTGTGCCCAGAAACAATTAGTTGTCAGCCTAAAGCTGCCTTGGACGTAGGTGTGAACTTCCGTCATTCATTTTGCACCTTAAGCTTGTCTGGTTGCACCCACTGTTAGCTATATCTATGCATATCGGTTATTGTTAATGATACTGAGAACACAATACGAAATGCATGCATCTACCAGCCTTCGTCTTCTTTCCATGCTTTTCAAATAGTTGGTGGATCACTTGTCATTTGGAAATAAACTTTACCCCAAGGTTCATTGAAGGAAGACTTGCGTAAACGTATATGATTTCGCACCGATCCTTTATTTTGCTCATAAACTCTCTGTCAGTAAGTATTGCTGGGATATGTGAGAAGGCCAGGGAGCCACCAATATCAGAATATGCTGTAGGCATGAAGATATCGAACAAGTGAGCTAATTTCACCGTGCAGACCTAACTAGTCCACCAAGAACTTGATAGTGTCAAGCTTATGGTCAAGGTGCTGAAACGCAAATTGACAAAGATCGACGCATGGGTAACTGACGATAGACTGGCGCGTACATGATAAAGACTAGGAGAAGGGTTTCTGATTTGACCTTGGCTCGAGGTACGCTACAGCAAAACTGTGTGCTGCATAATTAATTGTGGGCTATTGGAAGTAGCTCCAACTCAGATAGCTTCTTACGATTTCGACAAAGCAGTAGAAAAACCTGCACTTTATTAAGAGCAGTCGGAAGCACGGATCACCCCACTGCACTAAGAACTGCACCCTTTACTTCTCCACGTCAACGGATGATGCCACTAGGATCTTACAACTTCCCCATGCTAGGGCAGGTAGCTGGTTGGATGGGTTCGATCCCCATCTGGGAATGCGCACTACTGACGAGCCCAAATAGGGCGAAACGATCGTACGGTACTTTCCTTAGTAGCGTTAAACCAGTCTGGTTGGTGAGCATCTGATATGAATCATTAAAATGCCATCAAGAATCTTCCTACTCATCCGTTGGCTAAACATTCGCTTTCACAGTCGTCAAATGCTATGCGGACATAGCTGGTGTGTAGTGAAAATCGCAACCTCAGAAGCGAGCCACTGTCCCCTGTGTTGATAGGAAGCTGCATGGCAGTGGATACTAGGTTGCACTATATCCTAGTTAGCTTCCAATTTCAGACCGTCTGCGTCCGTCCCACATAATAGCGTAAACTGCGGTGATGGATTCGATCCCCAGTAGGAAACCGACGGAATGCGCACCAATGGCTTCCCAATAGGGTGAAAAAAATGGTCAAGTGATTTTTCGGAATGGGGTTAGACCAATCTGGCTTGTAAGCAGCTGGGATGAACCAGTAAAATGCCAGCAGCAAAAGTAAATAGATATTTATTTTTGATAGGAACAAGACACGCCATTAGATGGCATGATCAGCGATTGACAGAGAGACAGTGCCGTCAATCACTGTTGGATTGTGGCAGCCTAAAGTAATACTTGGAAAGCGCAGTCTGATATGCTGTAGCACAAATGTCAAGTGGTAATTCCGAAATGAAAACATCCACCGTTGTGCAGGTGCAGAAGAGTAACCAGGATATGATGACTGGATGCAAACTATAGATGGATTAATCATCCGTTTGCTTACAGGGAAATACGTGTAACAAGACATTTCGCCCTTTTGCGTATTATGGGGTGAAAAACCTAGCTATCGCTTACATTAAAAGAACGATTGACACAAATTTGAGAGTTGAAAGACGTAGCGTTCAAGAAATAGGCATAACACCATTCTAGTATCCTGGATAGGTCGTGGCATGTATATTTGGCTATGTACATCACCACAGTGTCTTCGAGTTTGATGGAAGAATGGGTTTGTCCGCCAAACATGGTCATGTTTATTACACGTGTGATGGAACGGGACCCAGCTGTGTTACTCATGCGTTATAACATTTCTGTCGCAAACTGATCAGTTTGTGTGTCCAGGTACCTCAAATGAAATCATCATCCGGTTTGCCAGCATTTATAGTATATTTGGGATATGAGGTCTAGAGTCCATATCAGCTGTGTGAAATGCAAAGGTTGTTCAAACGAGTATACAAAGTGCACTGCAATGAGGACGTTTAGCGTACGGTTCATGGTTGCTAATTACAGTCGTCCAGAGCGTCCGAAACCCACTACTCATAGGCCGGTGGTTAGCGCACCACAATGAGAGTGTAGGCGATGCTAGCAAGGGGGTTTCTTCAAGAATTCCATGTTGGTTTTGACAGCATATTGCTCTTACCATGAAAATAGTTTTCTGGATGTGCCATACTGTTCATGAAACGTTAGTTCAACTTTCATGGGATTTCCTTTTTGACACATATCACGTGCATAATGATCAGAAGGGTCGAACATTGCTAAGTTATGTAGCTGAGACAGAGTGAACGCCTTTCAGCGCATAACGGACGGGAAGCATCGGCTGTGGGGCCAACCCTGTCATCTGCAAACTCCCTAACTTTCTTGGTAGTGGAGGATTGACTGGGCCTTATCACATTTAGTTTGTAATTCACGATGGTCTGTTGCCGTCACCCGTATGGAACTGATGCTCGGGAGTGATGAGTTTGGTTCTTGCTAAGTTCTTTGGAATCCGAACTGCCGACGAGTCTAAGTAGAAAGAAACGGCATTCTGATGCTTTCCTAGATAGGTCGGTGGGTGTCCGGCTTGTAGATACTACGAAAATACCCCCAGTGAAATTACAGTGAAAAAACCTGCTCACCAGTGTGCAAAACTTATGAGCCTCCAGTTGGCACTAGTAGAGATTTAACGGCTATTAGTCAGTCTCCAGCAACACACAATGTCAATATCATAACAGCCTACACACACACACACACATACAAGTGTGGAAGCTCGCGGTTCCCTCCCGTCATCGTGGCCTTAAGGTGTAAAAGATGCGATCAGGAACAAGTTATTCGTGAAGCCGGAATTTCAGGCGGATCAATTTCTTTCACACGGTGAAGATAAGTGCATAGTAAATAGGTCTCTTGTAACTAAGCTCAGATATGGTGAATAGCTTTTAACTTTCACCAGTTCACCATATGGTGCCAGAAAATTTCATAAGGAATCCAAATTCAAGACAGAAATATCCAGTATGAGACTAAACATATTACGAAGAAGCTAAAACCCCTGACTAGATCCGTGTGCGATAGCTCATGGATGCCTATTCTGTTAAAAAATACCCGATATGATACAAACGGTGTAACCACCGGTCTATGCGCATATGACATTATACTACAGTGTGCGGAAATGAGTCTTGTTTGGAGATACAGCACAAATCTAGCAATGGTTGCTCACTTTTCTGTCGTTATCACTCAACTGCTTCTCTAACCGTTCCACTTTTGCCTTTTGTTTTGCAATCTGGTTTGTCGTCGAAGTTGTCCCCGCAGTGGTTGTGGACGACTGATCAGTCGTTAACTCGGCACTGTCCATAAAAGGATTAGGTGGGACACCAACCGAATAACTGGTGGAGTTTGAAGGCATTGTGGCACCTAAACCCTGCAATGAAGAACTTCCTGGTGTTCCTGTCGAAATACCTCCAGGCAGCCCGGGCACGGATGGCGTCGCAGACACGTTTGAGGCATTCGCCACGCTGGCGTTAAGTTCATTTAACAGCGTCTGCGCAGCGGAAAGCTCCTCCCTCAGCTTCACTCCGGTCTGACAGCGTTGATAATACGCCGATTTGGTTTTGATCAAACTGTTCTCGGCATCAATCAGCCGCTTCACATCCGCTTTCCATTTGTCCTTGAGAAACTTGCGAGTTTTCTCAAACAGCACTCGCTGCCGTGTCAGCACCTGGACGCGCAAAAAGATGAAGAAGGGCAAAACTTTAACGTTAGAGATAATAAAAAAGGTGTGGTAAACGTGAGCTTCTTGTGGCGGATAATATAAGGCGCTACGAAACACATTCAAGTACGCTTGGAGACGGATTGCGTTGTCAATTGAGTTAAGAGTGCCATAAGGTGTGTCAGGTTACTTCGCATCGGCGATTTGATGTTATGTGTCTAGCAGTGGAAAATTTTCATGAATAGTAGACTGCGAAAATGGAAACAACCGGTTTGGTGATCTGCGTGAAACAATACTGTTTACTGCCATATATATATATATATTTACAAGTCGGGAGAAAGCTGCTTGTGTACAAGTCTATGGCGTTGTGCGTTCTTTTATACGGCAGCGAAACGTGGACGCTTTATCAGAAAGATGTTTGTTTTTTCTGGAGAGATTCCATCAACAGTGTCTGCGCCGTATTATGCGCATCGGCTGGAGTTAGCGAGTTGGAGACACGGAGATGCTCCGATGCAGTGACATGTGTATAGTAGACTGCATCCTACTGCTGCGACACCTGAGGTGGCTTGGGCATATTCGCCGCATGGATTCATCCCGGATACCAAAACAAATGCTTTATGGCCAAATGTGTAGGCCGGGAGGTGGCACGTAGGAAAACCAAAGTTACGTTACCAGGACATGATCACAGTGAGCCTATCACACACTTTATATTAATTTCCGGTGTTGGAAATTGGAGGCGGTTGATCAGCCCGTGTGGCGAGAGCATACCAAGCGGGCGGCTGCCCAGATGCAGTCGAAATCACTACTGCATGCGGAAAAGGAAGGTCGGTTTAGCAAGCGACAGGAGCCGATGGTGGCTAGTCCATCAATGTCGTGTGCATTGTGCTGTAGCACATGCGGTCGCGTGTTCCTCAGCCAAGCGAGCTTGACAAGCCAGCAACATCGACACGTTGGGCCAACACCTAAGAGAAGACGTGTGTACTAAAGGTGCAGTCATCATCAGCGCGGGGCTTGATAATTTTGATTCTTCCGATTCAATTGCTAAGCCAGGTCAATAACACAATTGAAATAGTACGCGTGTCGCATTGTCGTTGCAAATGGTTTGTGTGTGTGTCTGCCTGCCTTTCGAGATTCTTGCATTTCAGGCCTTGCCTGTTGATTGATATCCCCGGTATGGCTGCGCCTGATGCGGATGTTGACAATATGCTTATACCTTTATTACCCGTTACCTTGCCTATACTGGCCCCAGGAGATAGTTGGTCATTGCTGGAGGGAACGGCATGAACAGCCCTTGTGGCCGCGTTGGGCTCAAAGAGTGGCTTCGTACATCCAGTGTGGAAGGGGCTACGGACCAGCCACCGCCTTGTATACCTCTGGTACGCATGATTTCCCAGTTAGGTATAAATGTTGCTGCTCCGCTTGTTGAGCGAGTGTGGGCCGGCTCCATTGATGAAACGTGGCTTCCATCCAGATGCCTCCCAGTTTTATTCCGTCTGGTTTAAACTGGGTAGAGGGTGCGTAGAGAGCTGTGGTTGGTGCAGCGCAAGCCACCCATGGTCTCTCTGCAGGCACAGGGGTCCTGCGATTGTCTTATGGAGGCAACAGTAACAGGCAAATCCGGAACCGGATCCCGCCAACCAACCAAGCATATATATATATATATATATATATATATATATATATATATATATATATATATATATATATAGCACCTTGTAAAGGTTGGACCGTGCTTTACTCAAAGTATCCTATCGTGTTTGGAAGCAAGCGCTCCGCTTTCTCACTACAACCCGAATTCCATCGTGCAAGCAAACGTGCTCCAATCTAGTGCTCATGAGGCATTGATCCCACCTACCGCACAACTTTAGATACAATACGTAGTGAGCGTCAGAAAAGTTCACATCTTTATGCGAAAATGGCCAAGTGCATATTTTTGACATCGTGGTGAACTTGCAGCCATTCCAACTGGATCCACCTGCCCAAGGCAATGCGTTCGTTTCATTTGGCCGGACGACTCCTAAACCGCCGGGATTTATTCTCCATATCACTCGAAACCATATCTGGCTTGATATGTGGATAATACCGCTATGATGACTTGCGATTCCCTTGATGATAACAGTCACTCTATACTTCATGGAAATCAAATCTTCTTGCATCCTCTATACTGGATACCATCAACCTCGCAGTATCTATTGCGTGATTCCGTGCAAATGTTTTTTTGGCCTACGTAACTCGCTTATGTCGTGAGTCAAAAGTTGATTGATAACATCACTCTGCATGTTCACGGAGTTTAATTGCCATTGTCTCCATGCATGAAGTTTGCCCCGGTCAGTCATACTGGCATGCAGTAAGTGTGGTAGGAGCCACGGTAGTCTCAGACGTCCGCCTTGAGGCAAAGTGAGCGCGTAGAAAAAGTAAAACAGACAAAGAGATAAATGTCAGGTGTTGTGGACACACAACGCGCATGTCATGGAGGGTTGACAAATTAGGAACACATGTTTCTTGTAGGGATAGCGGAGCCGCGACGAGGACCCAGGAAGTAAGGGTACATCAACTACCACAGTCTCAGCGATCCAACTGACTGGAGTGCTCTTCATTATGGACGCGTTTCGCAGTGGTAGTTCCCCAAAGGAAACTCGGAAAGGCAAAGAGGTGACTTGCGTCACATTGGGCAATTCGGCTTGCACACAAATGCCATCATTTCCGTGATGGATATCCGCAGGAAATCTAAACCGGATCACTCGAGATAACCTGACAGACCCACTTGCAAAATGTCAACCTCCAGAGTAAATGGAACCTGTGGGCTGGAGACAGTTATTCGCTGCATCCCATAGTATTTGTGCTTACTGCTAAAGATCCGTCTAAACCTAGTTGTCGCATACACAGCCAGAGGATAGGCAAAAGGCAAGATGTCGATGCTCCCTCCTCAATACTTTAGGTTGGCCAGTTTGAGCACGCTACCAGTTCTGCTTCCCTTATGCTTCTGTGTGGCCATGCTGGCGCTCAGTGAAACTCAAAAGCGATAGGAAATGGGAATTTTCTTGCAAACATACTTTCTCTTACCTCGTCATTCGGCAGATGTTACAAGCGAATTCGGTCGTACCGTGTGCTATTTCGTTAGTAAGTTGAGATACGCGCTTAGTATTCAGTGGACCTCATCTCCGTAATGGTCTACCCTCCTCAGGGTAACACACTGAATGGGGAGTAGAGATAATCGAATCTCCAGCCATTCAAGAGCTTGCTTACTCTGCTGCGTGCATTCGGTCGCACAGATAAGCACGTCTTTTGACGGGGGAAAAACTAGTCAATACCCTACATACCACAGGAAGGTGTGACAGCGGGATTTTTAAATCTAGAACGGAACACCCATGATTGGGTGCGAACCTGCAGAAGGACGCATGTAATAAAATGCGGAGCGGTCAAAACTTCGTAAACTGGTTAGTTACGAAGTGACCAGAGTAGCCAACTAAACTGGTACAAGATAAACAGGAGGAGCGAACCAATTATTATTTAAACCCGTTTCTCGGTTTGAGTGTAACGTGTTGATCAAAAGCCATCGGAACCTCCAAATACTATCTTGTGAGGGAATTAATTTGTCACATCTGAGCGTAGCCTTGTAATTTTCTTAGTAGCTCAAATCTATCGTGTTGTTTAATGCGTATTACCAAAATCTTGAAATTGGGTTGCCGGATACGCGATAAACAAAAGTTCTACCTAGCCACTTCGCTTTTCGACATCCGATGTGATCCGCGAGAGTACTCCTACCATTATTGGACTCACTTAGTGTAGATGGGTTTTGCGTGTGGCCGAGCACAACACTACAGTCCATAACCAGCGATGGGCCTATTTGATCTCATTAGTGAGAGATGGCAGTCGTCGGACCCGAAGCACCGGGATGTCAGCCGGAACCTATGCTCCTTCGGCCAAGGAATCACGACGGGCAGCGCTTATCACCACGGTTAGTGACCAATTTGAGAGGTGATTGTGAAGCATTCCTGCCGGGTACTATGGCTTGACGAACTATCTCCTCGTGGTGCCAGCTGGGTGGTTTTGGTGTACCCCGTTCCAGCGAAGTGTTTGGCGGCAGTGTTCCACCTTGGTGGGGCATTTTACTCCGGCAATTGTGCTGCTTCCATGGGGAGGATCGAGCCCCTGTTTAGTGATTTCCATAAAAACGCACAAACTAAAGCTTTAGGCACGGACTCCTAATGGACGCGATTTCCAGACTTCTCCCAGCTGCCTTGTGGATAGGCTATTTAGCCCAAGGCTCGGGGTGGGTCCCCTAAACTAACTCCCTATTTTGGCTTGGCCAACCGTGTAGTATCACGCGCTCTCACAATGCTATGGACTGTAATACAGCGTGCTCATCAGCTACCGTTTCTGCTTCTCACATTCAGGCGAAGGCAGCATAAGCCAATTGTTTTTTTTTATACAAACAATGCTTACTTACCATTACCCGATTCAAGTGTTCAACAATCTGGTTGCTCCACCAACCACGGAGTTCAAGCACTGGCTGTCCTTCGTCCCCGGTCCTCGTTCCGTCTGGCCTGCTGCCACGTTAGGACACGCATGCAGATTGGACAGCAAATGGGTTTAGCGCGCACTCTAAGCTCCCTCGTTATCGACTTCTGTTGCCTTTCAGATACCCGATTGTAGGAACCCAGCCTTGTGCTTACATTGACATCCCCTACTGACCACGAAGCCAAATATCACCTGCGTCTTTCTGGAGATACAGAAGCAGCCTCAGCGGGTTTGGCTGGTGCAGGTATAACACTAAGTGGCAAGGCCGAGGCGCACTACTGGACTGGTTCCCGATTAACAGCCGACTGAATGTTGTTCAACCTCAGAGTTCATGTAGAATCAATAGACTCTGCGATCAGAGACGTAACTTGTTTGTGATCTCCGCGTACACTGCGACTGACTGCAGTGATTGCTCGGTCAATGATGACTTCTATCTGGAGCTTCATCAGATCTTGACTAATTCTAAAAGTCGGATGTCGTTGTCCTTG